ATGGTTAGTGCTCAGACTACAGCTGCATTAGTGGTTGAATCTGTGATGCTATACATATGGCTACCACAGTTACGTTTGCCGTTTAGTTCTTCATTACAACTGCTCTGCTCTCGATTGAGCATACGTTGGGACAGCATGCGAGCCCTCTTTTGACCACGATGCAATTATGACAAAGCAAAACCCAGAACAAGAAAATTCCTGGCCACACATTTCATACCAAAATCAATAAAAGACAGCAGCCTTGACAAAATATTTTGTATTAGCTGCACCGATCAAATCTACCACAAAGTGGAGCTGTAGTTACATATTAAAATGGTTGGTACAAAATAAGGACTTATGATTGTCTAAAGGTGCTTGTCTACATTTACATTTCGTACACTGTGATGCCTGTGCCCCAGAATTTTCTTTGCCATTTTCTGAAATAAAAAAGTTACTCTTTGATTGATGGTGCTTTTAATGTGCCCCCTCAGAATATAGTGGTCTTTGTTAGTCATTGTCATTCCTGTGCTGGTTTACAACTGTAACCATGAGTGAGGTGGCTATTATGTTTCATAAAACCAGATTAATTTCATTTTCTGATTTCAATGCATGAGCAAGGTCTAAGTGATGTCGTGACGTTGTGGAGTTCACAGCACCTATGTTGGTTTCTGACAGTTACCATTCTTGACAGTGAGTTTGGCTTGCTCATATGTTCATTGTGATAGATGTGCTGGGAAAATAATCAGTGCCACTTTTGAATGTCAGTTGCACTGTTTAGGGTGAAACCCATTTAAAAATAAATGAACACACCAGGTGTCACAGTGAGAGAAGAGAGGAAACAAGCAGAGACATTACATCTTTTTCCAGACTGGTTTCCTTTACTCCTGTGGGTAACACTTCCTAAGCATTGTATTAATAATTAACAAATGCATATAACACACTGTAATCCATCTGTCAGCAGATATGATGTGTTTTTATGTGTGTAATTTATAAATAACTCATTTTATATAACGTGTACTGTTAGTGAAGACTCCAGTCTGCAGTGTAGTTCATACACATCACTGATAAACCAGAGGATGTTCAGTAAGATTGGGCTTCGTGATCAAAGAAAATTTTTGTATCACGTCTACACTTCTGTCCGAACTCACTCACTACTTTTGCCATAGTGACAGTTTCGAACTGTGATAATAAATTAATGTTGTGTTTACAGCTTGTTATGTTGCCGTCAAGTGGCTAAACCATCAGTTAATACTCATTTAAGGGATTTGGGTTTTGCCTCTTTGGAGGGGTTTTGCTTAATATTTCAATATGATGTGTAAATAAAAGAGAAAGTCTTTGTCCAGACTGAGTGTTTTTTTTAATTAATTTCAAATGAAGGATTAATTAAATCGATTTAAATTAAGTTTTAATTCATGCTGTTGCAGGAGGCTGATAATCTGAGATGCTGTAAATGACCAGAGGAGAGTGAATGAGTTGATAAATGGGGGGAGTTGTTAAAATGTTTGTGCATGTTACACTAAGCTCAGCTACACTTTTCACCTCACAGACACACACACATGCACAAACGCTAACACACACTCATGGTCACAGATGGAATTTCATGCTGCTCAGGGTTTTGCATTTTTCGCCTGGGCAGAAATGGAAGCATGATCACTCATGTTAATCAACACCTGTCACTCTGTGGTTTGCTTAGGACACACACACACACACACACACACACGCTTTGGGACACACACAGGCCAGCTTACAGCACACAATCATTTACATACATTAAAACAATACCGGCAATCTTTATTCATAGGACTAGAAAGTAAAGATAAAAAGTATAAGCAGAATAGCATACTCAAATAAAAGTACTTGTGCAAAAATGCACTTAGATAAAAGTAAAGTATTCCCTAGTAAGAGAATATGTTATTTCATTTTTTTGAAGGTTAGGGAATACAAAGAATTCAGGTTACATGATGATATATGAAACTGCTGCTGAATTATAGAATATGTTTTCACTCTGTAACAGATGTGACCTAAAATGTAGCAAGGTTCAACACTTGTGATAAAAAGTAATTAAGTAAAAATAAAAGTACCAATTTTTAAAAATTCTAAAAAAGTTCATTCAGGGCACTCACGAGCTCACCTGGTAGTGTGGGCACCCCATGTACAGGGGCTGTGTCCTTGCTGCAGCAGCCACAGATTTGGTTCCAACCCACGGCCTTTTTCTGCATGTCATCCCCACTCTCGCTCCCCTTTCCACGCTATATCTGTCCTGTCAAATAAAGGCAAGAAAAGCCCTAAAAAATATTTTTTAAAAAAGTACAAGTACACACACACATACTATGACTTTTTTTACAGTAACATGTTTGAATGTTACCATTTATTTCCTCCTTTTATTCTGCATTCTTCTCCTATGTTTCCGTGGGTTTTCTCCAGGTCTCCCACCAAAAAGACATGTTGCATATTGGAATGGCTCCTGTCAGGAAAGTCACTGCCTTTGACCGACACATTGACCTGTGGCTGCCCTTTGCTCCTAAAGAGTCAAAGGGGGTCACAGAGCAAACATATTTTGTGTCAAACTGTTCCTATAACATCAGTGCTGTCAGGCCACGCTGACTGTTTTGGTTTTACATGCCTAGGTTAGAGATACTATCTCTGAATGTTGGACTGTAAGACTAAGACAGAGAACGTGAATGGAATTTAATTTGTGTTGCTCAGTGCACTGAAAAACTTGCCTGGCAAGATGTCTTTGCAGAAACAATGTTGTGTTTGCTCTGGCAGAGCTCACTGTAAGTTTTTACTGCAACTACATTTTTCTGAAGAAATACAAAAACTGTTTATGATTTATTCACTGTATTTGGGAAATTGTTTCCAAATGTAATTTTTCAGTTCACTGACCGTTCAGCAATTCTGCAATCAACCCCAAAATATTTGTGGGAAGTGAAAAAGCAGTTTCTAGTGATTTTGGTGAACAGACCTTTTAAAGGTGAGACATGTCATGAGGAGTGTAATATAGCCTATTCTATAGCATATTTTATTGTCTAGTGAGAGACACTATTGAGTGTATTATGGGAAATGTAGTATCTGGTCTTTTTGCCGCCCAGTTGCTGGAAGAAAATGTTGTCAATTGCACTTACAATCCTTTACATTTGCATGTTTTGTACATATCATATCAGTGTTTCGAAAGTGACACAGTTTATGAGCTCTGAATACTGCTGGCTCACAGAAACAGTTGTGATTTGGTGAGTGATTGCTGTGTTTCCAGTGGCTTTTTTGGCACCAAACATGGGAGTTTTGTAGCAACCCATTGCTGCGTTTCCTGCCAGTATAGTCGCACCACCAGTATCTCGGCCTGTGGTGCTTTGATTTTGATCGTTCCTTTAATTAATCTGTGTCTCTCAAGTCCCCCAACTTTAAAAGTGAAACATTAAATCAAATCAGAAGTGTCTTCCTGTATTGGTAAGCGTAATAACAATAAATAATACACTTTATTTATAAAGCACTTTTCAAAACAAAGTCACCATGTGCTTTACACAGTTGATCCTGGATTTTAAACAATGCAGAATTGAGGAGCAGATAAAATGAGGCAATTTTAAGAAAATACAAAGAACGAAAAATGACATAAAGACAATATACTCTCACTGAAGCAGATCAGCAAAGTTGGCAACTAATTAAAAGCCAAGCAGTTTTTGCACTAGCTGAAGCCATGAGATGGCTTTTTGGCTCAGCCCTGACTACACTGTGTTGCTGTAATCTTACTGTGAAGAAATGAAAGCATGGATGACCTTCTCAAGATCATGTTGAGAGAGAGAGGACCTGGTTTTGGAGATTTTGGAGCATTTACTCATAGGCATAGATTTCAGGAGAAAACAAATAAAACCTGAGAGTAGTAGGGGGCTTTTGTTTGACAAAATTAAAGACATTTCAACCATGAATTGAATGCAGAAAAGGCACAAACTGGCGCATAATAATTGACCAAAATGCAAGAAATTAGCTCCCTATTTCATGTGCGTCTACTTATGACAACTGTTCCTCTTTGCTCTTTTGTGATGTTTGAGACAGAAAGAATGATTTCTGATGGATACAAAAGCAAAAATAAACAAGAGCAAGAGTCCCTGTGGTAGCAACCAAAGCCAGCAAAACAAAATGCCAGCCTGTGCTGTGCCAGAGCATGTTCTACCCCAACATTAATGCACCTAATTTGTTTTCATTATGTAATTGCTCGTTGTGATCATCTTGGGGTGTTCCCTCCTTCCCCTCTCACTCCCTTCCAAAGAACACACTACTCCTCTTTCCACTTACATGTCAATCTATCTTCTTACATCATCCCGACTCATCTTCCCTGTCACTGTCCCCCAACGCTTCACCAGTCCCTCTCTGAATCAGCGGTCTGATGTAACTGGAGACTCTGAAGCTGTGGCTTGTGACCCAGTAATTCCTGCCATCCATACCATAAAAGAGGGCTAACCCTGGATGCTGCTCCACATGACTGACATGTGAAATTAAAAATATTACCAAGAGGTGAGTACAGTTTAAAGAATGTAGAAATTCAAATGTATGGTTATTGTGATACTGTAATCTATGAGCTAATCCATATGATAGTTTAAACCTGTTTGCTCTACTTACTATGATACCAGATTTGAAGTGCTGTTTAATGCTTTTCATTTGTAGGTAAACTATTTCTTTAGGTATGCATTTCCGACAGTAAAAATTCCTCACACTGGTTCAGCACGTCTGTCTGATACAGGGAGAAGGGGGTAACGTTGTATGTGTGTGTGAATGTCAGAGAGGGAGGAGGGAAAAAGACAGGGAGCCAGTCAGAACATTTCAAACTACTGTGCTGGCTGCACATGGAGTAGTGTTCAGCACCAGAAAAAATCTTTTCGTGTCTTTGTTGGGACTTTGCAGATGGTGGAGTCAGGCCTCCGAAGGTCTCACACTTTTGAATTATTCCTGTCTTTTGCTCTTCAGTCTCGGGCCTTTTCGTTTGTCATTTCCATCCATCATTTCAATCTGTACTCACTGGATTTCTGAAGGAGGTGATCTGGGTTTCCAGAGTGCTCTGGAGATGCAGAAGACCAGCAAGAAGAAGCGAGCTCAGAGGACCAGCGTTAACCTCACGAAAGCAGCTCATCAGTGAGTAGTGGGGTTAGGTGAGAGGGGCAAGTCACGGACAGTTTAGGAAAATAAAGTCAGTAGCCTCTCATGTGTCTAAAGTTTGGAGATAAGTATTAATCTGTCTGTCCTTTTGTGCCTGTTCACCCTTTTTACTAGCATGAAATAAAATAGAAAGCCACTCAGAGATGTTATTGATAAAGAGGATGTGTTTGCATTTGGAGTGCTGGTTATTTCACCACTTTTCCCATAGATTAGTCTATACTCATCCCTCTCACCCCTTATTCTAACCCACTACCACTTTTGCATGTTGCTCTTCATGCATGCTACTTATCTAACCCTTGTCCATCTTTTTTAATGATTAGTGAAGTTTTGAAAATACCAATTTAAAAACTTCAAGCTGTATTAATGGATATTTTGGAAATGGATTTGTCAATAGATATAAAATTCAGACAGTCCACTCGAGCAGACTAAATTGGGTGTGAAATGGAGGCATCAAAATGTTGATGATTTAACATGAAAGTAAAATAAGTACAATTTAAGATACAGTTACTATAGGCAAGAATAAAATCAGGAGTCAAAAAGTATGAAAGCTGCTTTTTTGAAATTCCACCAATGAAAAGATCCACAACACACCTTTAAGGTCACTGTATGTCAATCAGTGCAGTTGTGGACAGAACATTTATCATGACAGCAGTGAGAGAAAACACAAATCAACAGTCTTGACTAGTGTTTTTGCTATGAAGCGTTTACACCTGTCAGTTTGTGTTTTGTTTGCAGTTAGGTGTTAATGGATGTGTATAGCATGACTCCAGCTGTGCTCCGTATCATTTCCATGTTTTTGTCGGAGAGGAGTCATTTTTCACGCGGTGCAGACAGCTACAATCTCGAAGGTTTATCCCATAAGCCTCTGCTTGTCAGCATGCTTTAACATTCTTTCTCTGATCCTCTGTCACACATATGCACACACACGCATAAATTCAACACTCTAATGCAGAGGTTTTTTTTTTTACATGGGTCAGGTTTGGCTTGCTTTAGCCACCACATCCCATGAGAAGCCATGACACGTTTCTGTGACAGCCTCACAGCACGCGATAGATGGTTTCATTTGAGCATTAGGAGGGACACATATGAAGCAGGGGAGGGTGGGGTCCTCCTTCATTTCCTGCTTTTGGTAACATTTTAAGCACCAGTTTCGAGTGGAAATTAGGGTTGAGCAGGATACTTGGAGGAAATGAGTATCCGGTACATATCTTACTATATAATAATAAAAACTCTGCCTGTGTGGGTGTGTCTGTTCCACGTTTTTCTCCTCACTGACTTGGTCAATCCATGTGAAATTTGGCACAGTGGTAGAGGGTCATGGGAGGATGCGAATGAAGCAATATTACATCAATTGGCCAAAGGGGGGCGCTATAGCAACCAATTGAAATTGCAAACTTTGAATGGGCATATCTCATGCCATGTATGTCTTAGAGACATGAAACTTTGCACAGAGATGCCTCTCCTCATGAGGAACACATTTGCCAGAACCCATAACTTCCGGTTATATAGATTTTCTGCCATTTTGAATTTTTTGAAAACACTTAAAATCAATCTCTTCCTAGGAAGTTTGACCGATCTGCATGAAACTGGGTGAACATAATCTAGGGACCAATATCTAAAGTTCCCTCTTGGCAAAAGTTGGAAAACTTACTAAAACTGAGCTTCTATAAGGCAATGAATATTGCAGAGGGCGTGGCTCATCACATAAAGGTGTATAACATCTCAAGGGTTTCACCGATCACCACACAACTTTGTAGGCATATGACCACACATAATCTGAGGGGACCCCTCCATTATTGACCCCATCAAACAAAATGGGGGCGCTAGAGAGCTAATTTTTTATCTAGGCCTAACCGCCATATCATTTTTAACTAAACTTGGTAGATATGTAGAACAGGATGCCTCAAGGTGACTGGAGAAATTTAACTCTAATTGGCAACTGGGTGGCGCTATAACAACAGAAAAATGCTTAAAATGCGACCGATCGCTGTGGCTCCCCCTGTGGCCGAGTGTTGTTGTTTTTTTCTAATTTTTGGTATGACTAAGTCATGGTATGGTATGCTGTACTCAATGGGTATGGACTAGTAATGTACATTTTAGATTTTTTTGGGGGGGAGGGCTTTTTGTCTTTATTGGACATAACAGTCTAAGTGTGAAAGGGGGAGAGAGAGAGAGAGAGAGAGAGAAAGAGAGAGAGAGAGGACGACATGCAGCAAAGGACCGCAGGCCAGAACCAAACCCATGGCCGCCGCAGCAAGGACACTGCCCTCATACACTGGACGCTCGTTCTTCCCACCAAGCCACCAAGTGCCCCGTATAGTGTATTCATTATGAGTATGCGTATCATCCAAGTAAAAAGCACCAATGGTCATACTTGTGATAAAGTAAAATCCTCATTTGCGTAGTTGTGTTCGATCTCTTACTCCTGGGATCGGAAATGATTTGAAGCTCAATCCTAAAATTGTTCTGTAAATAGTTTTCTAATAAATAATAAATACAGCAACACTTTATACTTTGTTTTTATATTATAGTGTAGTACTGCTACTATTAATGTCCCTTTGCCCCATGTTATGTAGTATGCCAGTCATCTAAGATAATAACGGTATAGATAATAGTTAAGGTGGCAGTTTTCTAGTTCCGCTTTGTAGGCTACATGCTGTTGTTGTGAGCGCTTTGGTGTGGACTTGAGAAGTTAATCTGCACTGTCGTTAGAGCATTCAGCAGACTGTACTTAACTGCTGCCATCCTCTACAGTAAAGGAAGATAATGTTATACTTCTTTTCCCAGTTAATCATGCCTCCTCCAAGTGGACATATAGATATCCCTTATCAGCTGAAGTCAGCAATATATTTTGTGGGTCAGCCAGCCTCTCGCTGACTATGTGATCAATTTCAGCATGTAAATCATTTGATCATCTTTTGTTGATGACTGGAGTTGAAAACACAGCTGCACACAAATAATCCCTGCGAGTTTCATTCAGACATGGAATTATATTATGCTGTTTGCATGGAGCATAAGTAATCTTGTTACTTAACACAGTGGTCTGAGCAAATGAACCACACAAGAGCATAATAAGCAGCATTCAGCAGGTTCATCATATGTTTAATGCCTTAGATGTGCATTAGCCTGGCCATCTGAAATAAACGGCTAAATATTTCCTCCTTCTCTTTGACACCCCACCAGCTGGTAGCACCCGAGGCTCACTGTCTAGTCCATATGTCTAAAAATGGCCCTGTGTGACTATGACAGTGATGTTTCTGTGAACATGATCTGATCAGTTGGCACCTGTGTGTGAGTCATGTGTCAGGTCAGGTCTAGGACATGCTTGTAAGCCCTATTAAATAGGCTAACTAACAAACAGCAAACTCTTAGATACAGCTTTCCCCAGGGCATCTGGCATTATTGGACCCTGCTGCTGGTCGCTGTCTCGAGAAAAAATATTCATAGATTGCAGAAGAGCGAGTGTAGTATTTCTAGTCCACGAGAGAGGAGAGGGTTCCCCATGACCCTGCTGCTACAAATCATAGACACCTCAGGCCCGTCCTGCTCAGACGCTCTGGGATGTTAGTCATATAGCAGGCATGTTGCCTGACACAGAGAGAGGGAGGGATTGTGCCCCAGCACAGGGACATAATCACCTCCAAATCACCTCCTTACCTCTGGCTTCTAATTAAAATTATGCTAATGGTTTATGGTTTATTGCGGTAACACTGCACTGATGGTTATAAGCTGCCACATTTTGCACACTGCTGTTGAAGTGCCATGGTGAGGACTAAGCATTCCCTGTTTTGATATAATTCCCACCTATGTCTAACCAGATATCCCAGCAGAACACATCATGTGACTGCAACATCTATCGTTTACTCAGGCCATAAAAAAGAACTTACAACACCTACATGGAAATACATCTGTGCCTCTATCCTAAACACACTATGGACCATTTTTGAGCAAAGAAAAGATTTTGAGCATAAAATAAATGCTCAGATAAATGTAAACACATGTTTGCTGTTGTCCACATTCAGCCCAGTCACCAGAAGGAAATGCTGGCATTATATGTTTCTGCAAACCACAGATACATTGTATGTTTCACATCATAGTAGTGTTTCTAAGGTGACATAGTGTATGAGCTGACATTGTCATTGTGAGGTTGAGGGGATGGTGGATGGTATGTCACCTAGGTGAACCACCTGCCAAGCTGCAGACCACTGTTTGAGACCAGTAAAAAACAAAAATAGTTGTGATTTAGTGAGTCATTGCTGCATTTTCCAGCAGACGTTTAGCCATCAAATGTGGGTATCTTGTAGTGACTCGTTGCTGTTTTTCCACTGGTTTTTTGATATGTACAAGCAGTTGTTTTTAACAGAGACATAATTGCATTTCCTGCTGAAACTGTGCCCCCGAAACTTGGTATTTTAAGCCAAAACATGATGTTTTCCTAACCATAACCAAGTTGTTTTGTGCCTAAACCTAACAACAAGTCAACCACAATGTTGTACTGAAAAGTTTCAACATGTCCTCTACATAATATCATGCAAATGTAGCATATCTGTGGTTTGCAGAAATGTACAATGCCAACATTTTGCCTGGCGATTGGGTTTGAACAACTGTTCACATGATCTAGCTCACTGTGAAATTAGCCCAGTCTTAACTTCTCTGAAATATTGACAAACATCAGCGTATGCGTATTCCCATTTTTTGTCTTTTGACCTTCCATTGATCACCTAAGCCTTTACCTAAATCTAATCCTGAATCTCCATCCAATTTACAAATCTGAAAATAGAAATTGTTTTCTTTAAACCGGACCCTAAGCCCATGTTACCCCTAAACTAATCCCTGGAAGATGTGAGGAGTGGCAAAAGACAAGGCCATAAAACTTGAACTGGCTCTCACTGCGATGACGAATAAGAGCACTAACATGACCCGAGATCACTCCATGGCCTTGGCCCCTCAGAGATGTACGAGCAGTAAAATGGTCC